CGCTCTTCCCGGATGAGGCAGATGAGTTGCTGGCCATTGGATGGCTGCGCATGGCGACTCTTGGCAGCTCACACCAGCTGCTGGCTGCTCATGGTGACTCATGGCAGCCCAGCTCCAGGTCGAGCTGTTGTTCACCATCTTAGCTGTAGAGGGCAGTGTCACTGGCCCTCATGTGGGATCCGAACCAGCGACCCTGCTGCTCAGATCTGGTGTCCCAAGCCAGCTCTTAACCAGTGCACCACTTGGCCGGCCCTACACTTGTTTTTTTATATTGATTTTGTATCCTGCCATCTTGCTGAGCTCATTTATTAGTTCTAATAGTTTTACTGAATTCCTTAGGATTTTCTTTATCATGTCATCTGCAGATAGAGATAGTTTTAGTTTTTCGTTTTTCAACCTGGATACCTTTCCCCTTCCTTCCTTCCTTCCTTCCTTCCTTCCTTCCTTCCTTCCTTCCTTTATTTTAGTAATTGTCTTGACTAGAATCTTTAGTACACTGTTGGGTAGAAGTGGCAAAAGCAGACATCCTTTGTCTTGTTCCTGATCTTGGGGGACAGTATCCAGTCTTTCACCATTAAGCATGATATTAAATGCAAGTTTTTTATAAGCAGCCTTTATCAGATTTAGGAAGTTCCTTTATTCCAAGTTTGTTGAGTGTTTGTATCATGTAACTTAAGAACACTTTGATTCAGTGTGACTCAGACACACTGTGACCCTTAGGTCATGACTTTCATTTTAGAATCTGAAAATTGCTGCCAAATACTAGGCAGAACATTGCTTTATTACAAAGTTTACCTTTCTGACCTTCATTCGGGCTTCAATGCCCTTTTTTGCCATACATTTTAATAATTTTAATTGAGGTGTAACATATATACAAGTAAAATGTGTGAAGTGCATTTAAATGTACAGCTTGATACATTTTTACATATGTCTACATCCATGTACCCCCCGACCAGATCAGCACCCCAGAAGGTGCCTTGTGCCCCTTTGCAGTCATTAAACCCCCTAGTGGTAACTATTTTGATCTCTATCACCAGTGGTTAGTTTTGCTTTTTCTTGAATTTCAAATAAATGGAATCATAAAGTATGTACTCTTGTTTCTTGCTTCTTTCTTTTAAAATAATGTCCATGAGATTCAGCCATGATGCATGAATCAGTTCATCCTTTTATTGCTGTGTAGTATTCCATTGTTTGAATATACAATTTATCTGTTCTATCAAGGAACATTTGGACTGTTTCCAGTTTGGGACTATTATGAATAAGATTGCTATGAACATTCTTGTACATGCTTTTGGTGCACATATGCATGCATTGATTTCTGTTACGTATATACCTCGGACTGGAGTTACTGGGTTATAGGGTAGGTTTATATTCAGCTTTGGTTGAATACTACCAATACTTTTCCAAAGTGGTTGTATCAATTCACGCTCCCACCAGCAATGTATGAGAGTTCCAGTTCCTCCGCATTCTTAACAATTGATACTGTCTTTTAATTTTAGTTATTCTGGTGAGTGTATGCCATATGTCTCCTAAGAAGCCCGACTCTTGTATTTTTCAGCTTTCAAAGATTAGAAGAAGCAATGGGGGATGGCTTAGTTAGAGAAAAGAACATTTTAGTGTTTTGTGGAAATTATCTGAAAGTGTCCAAGATTTTTCCCTGCCATTTTAAGAGAGACCACTGAATTAAAATTTTCTAAGGAGTCATATCACTTGTGTGCAAATAAATAACTGCACAAGTCTAGAAAGTGACTGATGTGGCCCAGCTGCATTTGTGAGAAAGATTATTGGATAATTGTTGATATGAAGCTTAATCTGTGTGAAAAGAATGATGCGACCACCTTGTGCATATCTTTCTTGCTTACCTCTCCCTTTGCACAAGAGCTTATTTCTCACCAAGAAGTGGAGTGTCTACAACTTGAGAGGTGGTGGTCCTACTGTCCTCAGCACTGAATAAATCATCCCTGGACCACTTGCCTCAGGGCCAGACTTGAAAAATAATACAGTTACACCTTTGAAGAATTATTTGTTAATGGAGTGACTCACAAACAAATCTTTGGGGAAACGTTGAGGGAACAAGGGGAAAAGACTTATAGGGACATAATAAAGTTATTAACGTTTCTAATGGGCTGTTGTGTAGAACAGGGATTAATTTTAAGGAATCTGTGGATGGGACTCACATACAAGAAATCTTCGTTCAATATAAGTGAAGCATTTCTCATTGAGTTCTCCAAAGAATGAGCTGCCTTGTAAGGTAATGAGCTCTCTGTCACTGGAGGTGTTCAGGCATCAATTGGCCAGCCAGTTGGTAGGGATACTGTGTAGCGGGGATTCAAGTATTCTGTGAGTATTTGAACTAGATTAGATAACTATTAAAGCACGATGTCAAGTCAAGGAGTGGATTGATTGTTCCATGAACTTGTAAAAGCTTGGTTTATATTTAATCACAGTTTAATGTAAGAAGGCTAAAGTAAAGGTAGGGAATGAAAGTGGTCATAATTAGCATCTTTGTGACATTTGCTGTTCTAGGTTTTGCTCTTTGGTCAAAGATATGATAACCAATGCAATGGGCAGTACAGTGGAGCTAGAGGGAGACAACGATGAGGACACCTTAGAGGTGAGTCACAGAAGACCTAGAACATGGAAAAAGTTATTTATTGTGTCTTTGATGCATAAAGAAAATATCCCACTTTTGTGTGAAAATTCTTCATATATATATTTTAAAATACTTTTTTTTTAGAGAATTTTATTGGGGAAGTGGGGGGATGGGAACAGTGCTGAGGAATTGGGGGAAGGGGAACAGACAAGTTGCTGTCGTTTTGTTCTTCAGTCTAGTTGTGGAGGACGCTGCCTCACTGGCCCAAGTTGGCACCATCGTTGCGCTCTTCCTGGGCGAGGCAGATCAGTCGCCAGCTTCTGGATGGCCGCTCACTGCGGCTGCTGGCTGCTCACACTGGCTGCTGGCTACACACGGCAGCCCATGGCAACCCACTGCCACAGGGGCTGCAGCCTACGCCGTAGCCAGCGACTCACGGCAGCCCAGCTCCAGGTCGAGCTGTTGTTCAGCATCTTAGCTGTAGAGGGCAGTGTCACTGGCCCTCATATGCGGGATCCGAACCGGGGCCCTCTGGCGTCCCAAGCCAGCTCTTAACCATCGCACCACTCGGCCAGCCCTTAAAATACTTTTGAACAAGATAGCCATCACTATCCATGACTTTCAGAGATTAACTTGAATACATCTCAGTAGAAAAACCTTATTACTTTGGGATCCTCTCAGCCAGGATGTTTAAGAATAATTTGGCATGAACTAGACTAAAATTTCCTTTTGTGCACAGCCGATGGAAAAGTTTTTTCTAAGCCAATTAATATTTGCGAGATTACAAGAGAAATAGTTGGCTAACTGGAAGCAGACTTTTTCATTTATGCCTAAAATGACTTCAGTTACATCTACTTGCGTGATGTATTAAATATAACAATTTTAAAACCATTTTTAAGAAAGTAGGATCATCATAAGGTGTTTTGAACAGCACAGTTGTAGTCTATCATTACACATATATTTAAATCTTGTGTAATTATTCAGATTTGCCGTTAATTCTGGTTCTCCCAATGATTGCAATTTAAGGAATTTTACTATACTCTCAAGTTAGACTTAAATTAATTCCTTGCGGCTTCTCCCAGGAAAATATCAAAGGGGTTCATTTTAATAATTGAGTCAGGTACTTGAATTCTTAGCTTAAAATCAAAGTTTATTGTAGAAATGAACTTAGTGATGTACTCTGAAGATAACAGATGTGGGAGTAGAAAAAGTTGTGAGATAAAAGCCTGTTACGGAGCAGGCTGATGTCTGGTTGAATCAGACCGTGATGGGGACCCGTTAATAATCTTGATTGTCATGAGCACCCCTAGAAGTAGATGGGAAGGGACACACACACACACACACACACACACACACACTGTTCTGTGTGTTTCTGTAATTCAGCACAGTGGAGCATAGAATAAGACAGAAATAATCCATAGCTGCCTCTGCTTTACATAAGTATTGCTCAGCATAGAATTCCATCTGTTTTTTTTCCCCCATCTGTTTTAATCTTTGAGAATCAACTGGAATGCAGCTGTGCACCAACTTTTGTTGATAAGTTTAGGGGAAGAAAATAGCAATCCTAACTGTAGGTCAAATTTTTACAGTGTGTAAAATGTTAGATCTATTCATTTAAAAGAGGGGCAGTGAGCCCAGCATATGTACTTTGTATTAAAATAATTTTAATTTTATTGACCTTCAGTTCTTTTCTGGGCTGTAGAAAGAGGTTTGTTTCCTGACAAGTTGATAAGGGTTCATGCAAGAAGACACCTATTTGGGGTAGTTGACATGCTAAGGAGCATTTTTATTTATTTATTTGTTTGTTTGTTTGTTTTTGAGGTTTTTTACGGAGTATTTTTAAATTATAGCATTAAAGTGGGAAGAAATGTTCAAAAGTTGAGCCAGCTAAGTTACATATGAGACATATTTTTTAATCTTATGAGACATATTTTTAAATCTTAGATTCCATTTCATAAAATCATGTTATGAATATATGAGTAACTGAGAATTCTACCCCTTCAAAGTGATTAATGAAAAGTGCATAACCTAAGAAATGTGACCTGCCTGGTACTCAAATATGTTATTTATGCATTTTTTTAAATTGTGGGGCAATGTTTGGGCTCTTATGGGGCTTCTCCACAACTTGTGTGCTTTTTTATCTTGTTGTTTTTCCTTCTTTAGTATGACTATGACTGCGATGAGAATGGTAATCGAGTTATACTGGGGCAAGGCACGTATGGGATCGTGTATGCGGGAAGAGATCTGAGCAATCAAGTGCGAATAGCCATCAAAGAAATCCCAGAGAAAGACAGCAGGCAAGTCGGGGTGGGCCTTCCACATTCTTCAGTTGCCACCTCCACACCTAAATCCCATGCCTACCTCTGACAGAGGATTTAAGGATGAAAGCATTATGTCATCAAAAAATGTGTCTAATTCTTTTAAAATAAGGGTACTTTGCTTTTGCTCTCTGCGTATTATAAATAGATTGAGAAAATCGAACCACTTCACTTAGAGGCATGTGGATAGCGGAGTCACATTTGAAAAGAAAACTAGTTGTACTTGCACCCATCAACTAGAGCTAAAGTTTTATATTTTTACGGAGATGGTTGTTTGCAAATATTTTAAACTATGACTCAGTGCTTTGATTCACATTGTAACAAGTTTAAATGACTATTATTTATTTAGATGTATCACTACAGAAAGTTAAATGTGGTAAACACAAATTAGCTTTTTGTAATACAGACTTTTTTTATACCCTGCCCTTTAACCTCACCCATAGATTCTGGGCTATTTTTTTTTAAACCACCAGTACTACTTATTTATTTCTTCAACATTTTTTAAAGTCTAATTAAATATTTATTCCTTTTGAATTCATACTCCACCTAATTCTAAACAAGAACATTGTGTTGTTTACTGCCTAGTGTTTTTGTAGAGAAGCAACATACACGGTAATGGCTGTAGCATAAGAAATAATAGCTGTGCATACCACTGGTGTGGTCAGACCACATGTGCAATGTTGCCTTCAGCGCTGGACACTGATGGCCATGTGCAAATACCCCTCCATCCAGGTGGTCAGTGAATTCTAAGGGATGGGCTACACATAATTTGTAGCAACTGTAAGACCCATCATTCATTCATTCATTCCCTTGTTCATTCATCTGTTCATTTTTTATGGGATTGTGTGTTATATTTAAATTATAAGTCAAGACCTGACGTGAACTCATCCAACTTCTTCCAAGGCTGAGGAAGATTAAATGACTTCACTAAGGATGTGAAGGAATAAGACTAGGACCCAGTCTCTTGAATTCGTCGTTCAGTAGCCTGTCTCTTATTCTCACGATGGATAGATAAGTTGTTTTTTTTTTTTTCGGAGGGGGAGGCGGATTGCTAGCATGTGCCACCTCTTTCAATTGATTGCAATAGTTGTTTCAGCTTGCCATTGCCGATAGTTGTTCCTGTGATTTTAGAGCTAGAAGGGACCTTTAGGGACTGTCTTGTCGCATTCCCTAAATTTACAGGCTGAAGTTATGATGTTGGCCACCGTCTCTGTGCCAGATTCTGGGCTGGCACTGGGGGCTGAAAGGTGACTGGGATACTGTCCTTATCCCAGGGTGCTCCCGGTTTGATAGGGAATGCAGAAACTTGTCTTGGGAGCCAGAGTGACAAGTATCATAATATAGGGATCCACGGAGTGTTTGTAGAACATAGGAGAAGAATGAATTACTTTTCCTGGGTTAGTTGCGGCAAGTTTGAGAAAATAAATCATCATTGAGCTGGTCTTTTAGGGATGAGTAGGAGTTTGGCAGAAAAGGAGGCCAGAGTGTCCTGTGCTGAGGGAAGAACAGAGCTGTTAAACACAGTCTGTTCAGAGAACAACAAATTGTCTGTTGTGACTTGAGTGTAGGATTGAGGCAATGGGGGCTCTTGAGATGAGGCAAAAATTTTAAAAGATGCAGTGTGACCTGAGTTTGAAGGTCTTTGTGTGCCATGTTAAGCAATACAGTCTTTAAGTGGACTTTGTGAAGAGAAGTTATATGATGAGGTGTGCGGTTTAGGAAGAGGGAATGTGGTGGCTGGGGGAGAATAGACAAAAAAGGCCAGAGGCTAGGGCTGGGAGGTCCATTAGGTAGCTGTTGGCTGTAGTCTGGAGTGAGTCTGCAGAATAAGACTAGAAGGCAGCTGAGGACAGAACCTTCTATAATATCACCCTTCATGGAGGCTGCTGAGGGAGGCAAAGGATGGTTGGACAGTTCAGGTGATAATATTATTTGAGATAATAACAGCAGCCATTCACTGAGTACCTAACACACACCAGGCACTCCACCGGTTGCCTGAGAAACTTGACACACTTGACACCCAGCAGCCCTGCGTGGCTGGTATTCTTTTCCCCTATTTTACAGATGGGAAGCTGAGTAGGCTCACAGGAACCAAGGAAGAGAACATTTCCAGAAAGAAGGGGTGGCCAGCAGTAGGGCAGGTCCTGGAGAGGTGTGATGCGGACCCCGAGCCCCAGGGATTTGGCAGATGACAGTGGCTTTGTTTTTCCTCCTAGGTTCGCCCAGCCTCTACACGAGGAGATAGCCCTGCACAAGTACCTCAAGCACCGCAATATCGTTCAGTACCTGGGCTCTGTTTCCGAGAACGGCTACATTAAGATATTCATGGAGCAGGTGCCTGGGGGTGAGTAGTCCCTGGTCTTCTGGTCTCACACTGAAAATCACTGATGGAACTATAATGTGCATCATTGTCCATCTTGCCATTTAAAAAAATGACAGACTTTTTAGATGTCAGAGAGCATTTATTTCTCAGAGGAGTTGGATGTAAACTTTCCAATGTCTCATGAACAGTCTCTTCGTGATTTGTTAATTTAATCATCAAATATTCATCGAGGATCTACTGAGTGCCAGCTGCTGGGCTGAGCGCTGGAGTCAGAGATGAATAAAGCATAGTGTCCGGTCCTGAGGCCTTCACAGTGTAGGAGTTCAAAGGTAGTCTGGAGAAGAGGGGACAGAGGTTTATTAAAATGCTATTGGAAAATAACATGTTGACAGTGAAATCAAACACCAGTGCTTTATCCCCACAAAATCCCCAAAGGCAGGCAGCATGGTGTCGGGGTAAGAGTTCCTCGGGTCTGGAGCCAGACCGTCGAATTTGAATTGGTCTTTCCAGCTGCAAGTTGTATGACCTCAGGCAAATTCTTTTCTTGAATAATGTTTTATTTTCAATTACAGTTGACATACGTTATTCTATATTAGTTTCAGGTGTATAACACAGTGATTAGACATTTATCCAACTTAAGAAGTGATCACTCCAATAAGTCTAGTACCCCCCTGACACTTTATATAGTTATTATAATATTATTGACTATATTTCCTATCCCATACTTTACATCCCTGTGACTATTTTTGTAACTGGCAGTTTGTATTTCCTAATGTCTTCCCCTTTTTCATCCACCCTCCTAATCCCTCTCCCATTTGCAACCATCAAAATGTTCTCTGTATCTATGAGTCTGTTTCTGTTTTCTTCATTTATTTTGTTTTTTAGATTTCATATATAAGTGAATCGTAGGGTATTTGTCTTTCTCTACCCGACTTAACTCTCATAGCATACATAATACTCTCTAGGTTCAGGCAAATGTTTTTTACTTCTCTGTGCCCTCAGTCTTCTAAATAAATGAATTGTAAAATTGGAGTAATAATTGCTATCATAATTGGAATAGTAATAATTATTGGAGTATTAGTGACTTTATCTCAGTTGGTTGTTGGATGGATTAAATGAGAAAATGTATGTAAAGCTCTTAAAACAGTGCCTGGCAGAGAGCAAGAACTCAGTAAGTGCTTGTTTAAAAAATAGCAATAACTAAGGGCCGGCCGAGTGGCTCAGTTTGGTAAGAGCCCGCTCAAGAGTGCGAGCTCTGAGCAACAGGGTTGCTGGTTCAATTCCCGGCCTGAGTTGCGCTGCTGCTGCGCTGCCAACAGGTGACAGGATGACTCAGCTAAAATAAATAAATAATAATAATGATAATTATTATCTGAATTCAAAATGTAAAATTTTAGTTAGAAATATATTAAGAGCCAGGCAATGGGCTAGACTTTGAGGGTTACATTAAGGAGAAGTAAAGTTGTTTCTTCTTCCCCCAGGTTGCTCACAGTCTAGCAGAAAGTATGTCAGTTGCTGTTCACATTAATTGCTATTCCAGGCATGAGGTTTAAGGATGACAACAGAATTGGAGATAGATGTGCACTTCCCCTTTTGCAGTAGGGAAACTGAAGCATAGCAAGGTTCCCACAGCACTGTGTAAGGGGGGAAAGCCGTGATTGGCTGATGCCCGAGGGCCTGCATGACGACCTCTGAAACATAGAATGCAGTGAAGAGGGGGTTACTTTTGGCCCAAAGGTTCAATGTTTAATAACGTAATTGGAGGATTGTGAAGGCAGACCTCCCTGCCCCTGTGGCCTGGCATCAGGAGCTTCTCACAATGAGGACAAAGAGACCCAAGCTCCTCCAATTCTAGTCCCTGTCACCCTAAAGGGCCCCTCCTTCTGGTCCTGTCCACTGCGAGGTATAAAATGTGGCTTTGATCCAAGCTGTGTGGCTGAGACACTTGCACTGCAGCATTGGGCCAGCCCTCCCAAGGTCAGAGAGCATTGCTGCACTCTCCTCCTGACTTTGTGCAGCTGAACAGAGCCAAACCCAAAGGTGGTCCCACTGAATTCCTAGGGACACAAGGGGTTCCAGTTCACCCTCCACCTCTGACTCACGCCCAGTCCCTTTCCTGGCTGTGCTATTCACACATCTTGGAAACAGGCAATAGAGAGGGAGGAAAGACATTGCCTTTAGCCCAGGTACAGTGATGCTGGCATGAGTGCTTACGTTAGGTGAGCAATATCACCTGACTGTATTTCCCTGAACTCTTAGAATTCAACCTTTGTCACCCTGACGAGTTCTCTGCTGTGTCTGTTTCCAGGAAGCCTTTCTGCTCTTTTGCAAACAAAGTGGGGGCCGATGAAGGAGCCCACCATCAAGTTTTACACCAAGCAGATCCTGGAAGGCCTTAATTATCTCCACGAAAACCAGATCGTGCACAGAGACATAAAGGTACTTCATTGTCTGAGCCAAAGAGGTCTCATTTGTGCATCTCAGATCATGTGAGCTGCTGGCAGTGTCTGCAGACCTACCAGCTCACAGAACGGAAGGGATTGAGTGTGACAGTCCCCAAAGTGCAAAGTCTAGTTTCCTAGAGATCTGCAACTGTTTCTTAAGGTCCATATCTGTTTCGTGTTTGTTTGTTGAAATCTGTCTTTAAGTATTTGATGTTCTTCCTTTTCTAAAGGGTGATAATGTTCTAGTGAATACCTACAGTGGAGTGGTGAAAATCTCCGATTTTGGAACCTCAAAACGTCTTGCAGGAATGAATCCATGCACAGAGACTTTTGCTGGTAAGCAGACCAGAGCTTGGCGTGTGGTGGCCATCTTGGAGTTATGCTTGCTATGCAAGCTGCAGTCCTTCGAGAGTTACTTCCTGAGCACCTCAGTGCAGTGTGGGCAATTGATAATTAAAGTGGATGGTGCATTGTCCCCAACTCCAAATTGTTTGAACTTTGTCATAATGACACACTTAGCCACCTACTTGTGGCAACAAGATTGCCTTACTTCTTTGTCTTCAAAGGTTGGGTAGGTATAGTGCTCTGCTTAAGGTTTTCCGAGGGTTCCTAATCAATCAGCAAAATGGGGGCATCTCTTTAATAATAGTGCATTATTCAGAATCGTGGGTAATTCTGAATAACAGTACTCCTCAGACAATTTAGTAGGACATTTTATTCATCTGTCATAAAAATAGCCCGTTACTTGTATAAATTCTGGTACCTTGAGCTTCCGTAGGATTGCGATCCTAAGGATGGCTGATTCTTCTGGGGAATATGGTACTGTGCATTGTTTGAGGAGTTGGGTTTTCTTTTCCATGTGTCAGTGATGGAACCATTTAAGTGTTGAGAGGGACTGGACTCACAGTGTGGTCTAAAATTGCCAACTAGCTTTCCATTTACAAGGCCAATGAGTAGAATGGTGCTCAAAAGCTACCTATGGCGTTTTGAAATTCCAGCTGAAAAGCAGCTATAGAAAAGACTTTGATGATGGAAAGAAGTACCAGTTTTGAATAAGTAAAGGTTTATGGTCCCCTAAGGTATAATAGAAGGATCACAAATATCTTGCTTGATGGAATTATGAAACAGCGCTCATAATGTTATAGCTACAAAATCAGCTATAAAAGCCAGGTGACTGTTCTCTGTCCCTGTAGCACCAAGCTGCACAGTAGCTAGATTTGGCCTTAGATTGGGTGAATAATGTCTCAGCTTTGAAAGAGTTTTCTTCACCAAGAGAGTTGTTGTATGTCGGCCACTGGATGCCCACAGTACAGACACATCCCCTATGTAAAGGGAACTTTCATGAATGAGAAATTACTTTTCACTTATAAACCAGTGGAGGTACATACATCTCAAAATGGAAAAATATTACACTAAGGACTTCCCCAGAATCTGCCAAACAAAGAGTATAGTGAATTTTCATTCGTTGTTTCTGCTACAAATATACATATAGCAACAGGTATAGGAGTATGTATATATGTATGTATGAATGGCAATATTTTTAGTACCTTAATTAGAAATGACTTCTATCCTCCTCTTTGGAAGCCACCAATTAGCTGGGCACTATGCAGCAAGAGGGGCTCTGATATGATGAAGAGTTATTTAAAGACGTAAAACCCCCAACAATTTATCTCATAATTAGCATCCCTAAGGAGAAAAAAAAATTCACAAAGAAAACACATGTATAATTCATTATCGCATATCATATTTCCCAAGTAATTGGCTTGAGAAGGCATGGATTTTGCAATGGAAAGTAATGCAGGGGTGTTTGGGGAATAATAAAGAAGGGGGTCTCATTTGGGGTAGGAAATTCCCCTGCATATAATTACTCTTTGCAAAACAGAGCAGTTCTGTAAAGAAATCTCAGCCGGTTGGTGCAGCGCTCTGTTTGGGTGCAGGTGGATGCGGTAAGCCTTTTGCACACAGATGCCTGGAGGCTGTCAGAGCCTGGAAGGAGAGCCAGGGGCTTCGGGCAATTCTTGGCCTGGAGCGCGTCCCTCCTGTCTTCCCCGAAGGGTGTTCCCGTGTGTAAACTGGCTAGAGTAGGAGGTAGAGCCATTATGGCCAGGGTCAGCCCCCTTTGCATTTGTTTACTTAACAGCTTTATTGGTTTCCAGGAAATTTTCCTAGATATGCAGCCATAGTTTGTGGCCAGGTTTTGAATGTTTCTGTCACCCCTCAAAAGGTTCAGATGCCAACTTGCAGTCAGTTCCTGTTCCCACCCAGCCCCAGGCAACCACTAATGTACTTTCTGTTTGCATATATTTGTCTGCTCTGGAGATTTCATAGACATGGAGATACAGAGTGTGGTCCTTTGCACGAACTCCTTTCACCGCACATAATCTTTTCCAGGTTCACCTGTGCTGTAGCCTGTGTCGGCACTTGGTTCCTTTTCCGGCTGAATAGTATACCATCATGTGGCTAGACCGCATTCTTGCCAGTTAGTGACCATTGGGATTGTTTCCACTTTTTGGCTATTGTGAATGACATGGCTGTGAGCAGTCACATCAAAACCTTTTTGTGGACACATGCTTTCATTCCTCTTGGGTAGATACAGAGGCATGGAACTCAGGACAGGAACTCTGTTCTGGTATATGGTTGTAAACATCTTTGGTTCAAATTCGGGCTCAACCACTTGCCAGCTGTGTGGCCTTTGGCATGTTACTTAACCTCTCTGTGCATCAGTTTCTCCATAAGTAAAACAGAGATGTGTATAGGACCTACTTCATAGGGCTTTTATGAGGAATAAATGAGTTAATATTGAGGAAGTGCTTTGAGCAATACCTGACTCACAGCAAATGTGACTGAAGTATTTGTTAATTAAATAAAAAAAGTACTAATTTGCACGTAGAAGGTATGGTTTATTAGAGTCGGCAGGAGCCTTTGAGAGAATCAAGTTTATGGGCATAATTAACATGTTAAACCTGTTGGACTCAGAGGGTGTTGTCATAACAGCCATTTTATTTATTTATTTAACGATTTTATTGGGGAGTTGGGGGAGGGGAACAGCATTGGGGAATCGGGGAAGGGGAACAGACAAGTTGCTGTCCTTTTGTTCTTCAGTCTAGTTGTGGAGGACGTTGCTTCACTGGCCCATGTTGGTATTGTGATCATTGCGCTCTTTCCAGGTGAGGCAGTCACTTGCCAGCCATTGGACAGCCGCTCACAGCAGCTGCCGGCTGCTCCCGGCAGCCCAGCTCCAGGTTGAGCTGTTGTTCACCATCTTAGCTGTAGAGGGTGCAGCGTCAATGGCCCTCATATGGGATGCGAACCAAGACCCTGCTGCTCAGAGCTGGCGAACCAAGGCAACTCTTAACCAACGCGCCATTCGGCCAGCCCATAACAGCCATTTTATTTTATCTCCCACTGCCCTTTACATCCCACCCAGGTCACTAATCCTTTCCCGTGACTTTTCCAGCCACCCTTAGATAACAAAGAAAAAGTCTTAATGGCACTTTGAGAAGCAGACACAGTCTAAATGCAGTACTTGAAAGGGTTCAGGCCACTATACTCACCAATGCACTGGTCCTCACTGAGAGGGCAGCCTCCTCTCCCCTGTCCCTGCTGCTCCAGTGGCAGGCAGCACCGGAGTCGGGGTGTCCACCTTTTCTCCACGCCTCACCTCTTCCTTCTGCACCAGCTGCAGGAGAAGAGAAAAGATTACTCGACGTTGTCACTTGACTAACACTGTTCTAAGCTGCCTTTATGTGCTATTGCTAACACTCCCCGCCAGTCCCTCTGACTGTAACTCCCATGTCATGGCAGGGGCCTGCCCTTTAGCTGACAGCCCCCTGCGACCCCCACCCACACTTTCCCCCCTTACATTACATCCACCTCTCCATCTTTTCCTGGTGCAGGATCCAGGCTCAGGAAGACTGCTTTTGGGCAGGATTCCTATTTATTTATTATTTTTATTTTTATTATTAGTATCAGGTGTACAAAACAATGCAATAGTTATCCTTTTCACCCCTCACAAAGTGACAACCCCACTCCCCCCATCCCCTGCCCTCCCACCCCCGATATCATACTTATCTATTACAATTCCATTGACACCATTCCTACACTCTTCTCCACGTCCCATGACTATATATGTATTAAATTATAGTTTACATATAATATTATTCAACAGCACCTTCAGATGTACAGTGCAATGTTCAGGCCTCTACACCGTCTATGAACTGGCCTCCCTAACAAGACATGAGTCCATCTGGCCCCCTAAAAAATATTTACAACATTATTGATTATATTCCCCAGACTGTCTTTTCTATTCCTGAGGCCTTTTTAAAAGACCCTGAAGCAGTATTTCTACAATGGTCCCATATCTGATATCTAGGGTCCATGCATCTTTTACTCACTGTCAGGAGTGTGTGGCAATATCCCCAGACCCTGTAGTCCCCCACACTGTTGCTATAAGCTGCTTTCGTTCCCATGGGAACCAGCCATCTGTGTAGCTTACCTGCCAGGGACACATACATACCAGTGGAGCTCCGAAGGAGCCCAGAAAGGCTTTGGGTTTTTAGGAAGTGGGGTCCCCTCCCACCAGGCCCATCCCTTGGCCAGGGTAAATGGGATGGCCCCCAGGGCCATGGGAAGCTGCACCTTACTTCTCATTTCTATAATTCATTAATATTAAATTTTGAAACTTTGGGCTCTAACGCTGTCTTGAGGCGCCCATAAATGATGCTAATACATGTGGCCTCCTTTCAAGTGCGATTATGCTAAGTGGAGGTTGAGTTGCTTGGACTCAACCATGGGCCCACACCCTTCTGGGGACAGCCCTTCCCCAACTCCCATAATGAGAGGGGGGTAGACCTCCCAGCATAGCTCTCTGAAGAGGTCAATTTCAACACCAACCCTCCTCCAGTCTCTACTCTCTTAACCCTGTGAGCCCCTTGGTCTGGGTGGGAGGTCCCTGAGTTTAGGGCCCATGAGTTGTGTAACCACTTGTCTTTGACCCCCTTAGATGTGTGCACCAGACAATGGTCCCTCTCTCACCCCTTGCCTTGGTAGATGGATCAAATCTTGGCACCTCAGTCAAAACTTCTAAAGAATTGTCCTATGCCATGTGTTTTCTTTGCTGGTAATTGAAAATCTTGCTTGGGCAATTGTCCAGGTCTGCCCAGTGGATTTCATGTCCCAAAGGGGCTGGGTCAGTGCCTGTGGGTCTCCTGGTCACCTTGTTCTGAACTCTGTACCCTTGTGTGGATGTTGGTACCTGAGAACCGTGGTTGGGCAGCTGATGAAGTGAGCATCGTGTGGGCAGACCGGTTGGGGGGGTAGGAAGCCCTTTAGAGAATCATATTTAAGGCAAGCAAATTTTCCAGGATTTCTGCATTATTCAGATGCCCCCATGGCATCTTCACTTGGTCTTCTCAACAGAAGCCAGCCTTGGACACAGCCCACAACATGCACACCGCCCCGGGATAGTCCCTTGACTGTTTGAAATAGTCATGTGGATCGTCTCTCTGTGTTGGTTGTTTACTGTGAACACATGGCTTCTCTGTGAGTGCAGTGGTAAATAAAATCGAGCACCCAGTTTTTTGCTGTTGCTCTACATCTCCAGTCATATGGAAGCAAGTCACATTATGGCTTTGGAAATCCTTGCATCAGCTGCTCTAATTCACGCAGCTTTTTTTCCACTTGTGCTTTTCTTGGATTCAGTGCATGGATCAGCAATGTCACGGGGTATAGCTCCAAATTTGAAGATGGAAGACCTGGCTTCTAGCTTGTACAAATCCCGTAGCTGCTCTGAGCCTCAGTTTCCTTGGGTGCGAAATAAGAATAACATTAGATAGCATCTCCTCTGCCTGACCTTAGGGAGTTGTGAGAGTCAGGTGGACAACATAACATGGAGACTCTTGGTATGCCATTGAGTGCCAATCGGAAGTCGGATATTGTGGCCAGCAGCCTCCATGATGCCTCCCGGTGATCACCACCTCCTGGTATTCACAGCCTGTGTAATATCCTCCCCTTGAATGCTGACTGGACTAGTGACTTGCCTCCAATGAATCGAATAAGGTAGAGTGGTGGTGTGTGACCTGGAGGCTAGGTCAGAAAAGGGAGTGTGGCCTCCCTCTTGCTTGCTGTCTCTTGGATCACTTGCTCTGGGGGAAGTTATGTCTTGAGCGGCCCTATGGAGGATCCCACCTGGTAAGAAATCGAAGCTTCTTCCCAACCCCCACCTGAGTGAGTGGGTTTGCAGGCGGGTCCTCCAGCCCCCGTCGAGCCTTCAGATGACTGCAGCCCCCACTGACATCTTGGCTGCCATCTAATGAGAGACCCTGGGCCAGATCCACCTGGGCCCAGATGTCCCTGGGATTCTGACATGTAGAAACTGTGTGAGATCATAACTATTGTTTTCAGCTGCTAAAGTTTGGGGGAATTTATTGTGTAGCAATAAATAACTAATATGAATGTCATTGCTAAGTTCTTCCCTTTAAAAAAGTTGGTGTTCACTATGGTTCCATATAAACAAAACCTCCTCTATTTTATCATGAAGCAGAGTAATCCTTCAATTATGAAACAGTTGTACTAAGGTGGGCAGTTATTCGATTAGGGCCAACAAGTCATTGCGATGCAGTTTAGTATCATTTTCTATTGTTGCATAATTTTGTAAGTTTATTCTCTTGCTCTTTAAAGAATTAATTTTTAATGGTTGTATTACTCAGGGTCCAGGCAGGAAAATTGAAATCGCCCCAGCTCTTTTTACAGAGAGAATTTAGTAGAAAGAACTGTTTACTGAGACTGAATTTTCAGAAAGCAGCCTACAGCCTTAGGGGGAGCACAGCAGAAGGGGATAGGAAGGGGTGGGTGCCTCTGGGCTGCAGCAGGTAACTCTGAGGGGGCAAGATGAAGCTGGTTCTGGAAGTATGGGGGCGTTAAAAAAGGCTAAAAACTGGAGCCAAGCGCTGCCCTTGGAACCAACTGAGGGTCCAAAGCACAGCTTGCTCAGAGGGACAGTAAGCAGTCTGGATCAAGTAACCTCTCCTCCTCCTGTCCTTCCAGGCTCTCTCACTCTTTAAGCGCCACCTAGTGGCATATCCTAACAGGTAGCCGCAGGCAAAGCAGAAAGATGGTTTGCAGAGTCCCAGGCCCAGCATCATGGAGCAGAACTGAGAGATAATAGCTTAAGAAACAGCACAGTGTCAAATCTTTTCTCAATTAATGAATTATGGATTAGTTAGAAGACACATTGCCTGCGAAGGCCTCTCTCTCTGTTCTTCACAGCAGCAGTGGATATTGTGTCACTGGAAGTTCCCTTCCTGGGGCTCTGAGCTTGCCTAACAATGCAACAAGTACTATGAGCTCTCGTCTTGCCCAACCCTGCAAACAACTGAACACTTTGCCACCACCACTGGGCTTTCAGCTGGAAGACCAAAGATGTCATTTCTGCCCTGCTGTTCAGTTGCACTCACTGATCCAGCCTGCTTTGTGTTTAACTTTAAATTAGTAAGAATTAAATAAAAATGTTAAAATTAAAATTCATGTCTTCAGTCTCACCAGCCACATTTCCAGGGCTTAACAGTCCTATGTGGATTAGTGGCTATCATAATGAACTGTACAGAATAGAATAGTTCCATTGCTGCAGGACATTTTGTTGGTCAGAGCTTTCCTAGAGCCTTTCAAAGGCTCATTGGAAGGGAAAATGCTAGTAAGACATTAGATCTTCAAGAGGAGGAGGTAGCAGATAGCATCTCCACACTTTTTTTTTTAACCACCGAGCCCTTTGTTTTCATTGATGAAGACTCAGGAAACCTGCTTTGTTGTGTGATCTTGAGACAGGCACTTGAATCTCTCTGGGCATCAGTGTTCTCTCTTCACACCTTGGCCAGTGTCCTGTTTAAAACAGAGTTTGCTGTTTAGTATAAACCTCATTGCCAGCACATCGCGTCTGCTGTTGTCGCGTGCACATTTCCCCTTTCCTCAGGCTTAGTTTCAAGGAAAACCAAAGATTCTATTCCCAGAGCCCTTGGTTGTCCTCCCTGCCCCCAACAGTCTTTCAACAGCTCCTTCTCCCTTTGCCATGTCTGGTCACCACCTTCCCTGTGACAACCTCTGGCGGCTCATGACCTACAGGAGAAAGTCCAAAGTCAGAGCCTTTGGAACACACAGCTTGCCATTGGACTTCACCTAGGTCACTGCCTCCTCCATTCTTTCCACCCCCAGTCCCATGTCAGACATCGCTGTAGCTCTCTGAGCTCACTCAATACTTCCCACCCATGGGCCTTTGCTCAAGCTCGTCCCCTTGCCTGGAAGTCCTCCCATCCCTTTGTCTCTTTGACCTTCTTGGCAGGAGTCTGGTTCACTGGCAGTCCCAGCTGCCGCCCCTTTGGATCTGCCACCATGTTCATGGCAAAGTCATGCTTTACCCCAACTATTCCTAGCCAATGACTGAGCATGGTGGGGGTACTAGAATGAATGTGGGAGTCTTCCACTGGGCAGGTTTTGGGCAGGGGCTCCCCACTGGCCTGGATGAAGCTATCTCAGAGCTGCTCTGCCTTCTGAGACCCTTCCTACCCAATGCTTCCTTCCCCGTCTCCTTTCCCAGACGTCAGACCTACATTGCAGTCTGACAGCTCTCCCTGCCCATCCTGCTTTCTCCTCCTTTATCCTTCATACACCTTCTTCCCAATGAATCTCGCATATGTCTAATCCCGTCTTGGCATTTACTTCTCAGAGGCCCAAACTGAGCCAGCCATAGCTTTCCCTGACTTGAACCAGGCTGAATCAACCACTTGTGTCCACCTCTGTTGTAGCACTTATTACATTTGCCGTCACCGCTGCCATCATCACATCATCATCACCATCATCATTATGTCTGTGTTCTCCTCTAGGCAGCTCCTAAAGGTCTGGCACTGTGTTTTTAGCATTGTGGTGCCTGTATCCAGCATGCATTAATATTTGCTTACTGAGTTGTGCCCATTTATCCTTCAAGGGGCTGAAGGATAATACTAATCAACATGATTAGTGTTGGTACTAAAGGAAGTCATGCTGCATGTCTCTGGTCAAAGAAAAGATACAACCACATCATTTACGCATGAGAGCAGGCCCCATCTGTCATTAACATGAGAGTTTACTTGTTTACTGATGGTTCGCTTAGCTTTTAAGCAACAGGGTACCTACAGTCTTTGTTTTCTTTTTTTCCTCAATAGGCACTCTGCAGTACATGGCACCTGAGGTTATCGATCGAGGACCTCGCGGGTATGGTGCCCCGGCTGATATCTGGTCCCTGGGCTGTACCATCATTGAGATGGCCACTAGCATGCCTCCATTCCATGAGCTTGGCGACCCGCAGGTAGCAATGTTCAAAGTAAGATATGTTTGGTGATTTAGGTGGCTGGTGTTGGGGAAATGTAATTAAAATCAAAATCTCTTCCCAATCCAGAAACTTCTCCACAAAGGTAGAAGAGAAAGGAAAGTTTTATTATTGAATAAGCATTAAATCAGAGTGTGATGTGTATCATAGGCAATCTGCTAAGAGATTGCAAAGACAGAAAGAACTCGCACCCTTTTATTGAACCAAGCAGTACAAGCCTCTCCATCTGTGTTCTCAAGAGGAACACTACCTAGTCTTCAGGTGCAAGGACTGGACAGCGCCATTGGTCACAGTAGCTCACCTGAGGTTCATCTGTGTTAGCTAATGGACTTGACCCAAAGGGAAAATAACCTCAGATCTTTAGAACAGGAGGTAGTTTTAGAGCAAGACACCACCGAAGTTTGGCTCTTACCCTCCCACAAAAATCAGGAGACAGAGAATGATGACATTCAAACAGATGGCTCCCAGGTCCTTGAAAGAGACATTCCTGGCAAGAGGCTTATTTAGCTTTTAAAAATATTGACATACATCTCAAAGAGACAAAGAACTTACAGGTTTTCTAAAGTAAATGCTCTAAGAAAAGAGGAAGTTTATCTTCCCTTATTTTCAGCAGGGAAAATTAAGTGTCTCATTTTCAGTCTGTATTTGCCCTTACACTGGGTAATACTCAAAGGCCGCATGTGTCTGTGTCCTTGGCGAGCAGGTTTCTGACTGGGTTTGGGAGAGGTGGGATTTTGGGTATGTCGTGATGCTTCCTTTGTTGCTCTAAAAACCCTCCCAGAGCTAACAGGAAGGGCAGCCCCTGTGCATCAAGGCCCATGTGGGACTAGCAGTTGGTCACCATCACTGGGGAATTTACTGCTGGGCCTGTTCCCTTAGGAAGGGACTTTCTTGCTGGCGACCTCAAGGGAAACTGATGCCAGGACAGCCCTGTGTGTCCAAGGGCAAGGTCAGGTCTACAGCATCTGGCTTGTACACTTGGAAAAGTTGAAGAGAGCTGCAACCCTAAGAGTCCATTACCAGTTCTGACCTTCTGTGGAGCCTTTTTGTTCGCCCCCAGGCTAAGAAGGAAGAGAGGGGGTCGCAAAAGGCCAAATGGCCACTGCTTATGGACAACAAGGTTGCAGTGCGTCAAAGCAGCCTGATGGAATGTGATTCCAGAACGTAATTTCTTCCTTCCTGCTTCTCTGCCAGACCTCCAGCCTCAGCCTCTTCGGCAGAAAGAACTCAGAGGCACGAGTGCAGGTCTCTGCTCATGAGCTGAGTGCAGCCTGCTGTGCTGTGGGTGCTGTGGCTGCTGTCCCCTGCCTGGCCCCTGCGGACTGTTCTCAGAGCTTCCCACCCTCCCAGCAGCTGTCAGGCAGCTCAAAGCCATGACCTCAGGTCGACAAGTGTCTATTGGCACCTGGATTCCCAACAAGACCCTGAACACCAGGGCTGGAGGACAGCAGCGACCTTCCCCAGACCTTTTATGTCTGTCCATGATGGAGCCAACTGGGGCCATTGAAGCTCTTACCTGCCGCTTCAGTCACAGGCCTCAGAATAAATAGTAGCTGGTGCTGAGAAAAACCTGAGGGCCCACCTGAGAACCATGGATGTCTGCTTTTTGATCTGCTGCCAACTTCCTGCAACACTCAGGAAACCTGTCTGAAGGCTGTGACTTGCTCAGTTCATCCATAGGGCATGAGTCGCTCCCTCCCTCTTCCTCCCGTTTCTGGTTAGCTCATTAGGTATACCAGTCTTTGAAAATATTGGGAGTGTTTTGGATGGCATGTAAGGTCAGTTTTCATTGCAAACTAGAGAGCTACTATTAAATAAATAATGTCCCCTGTGTTCTCTTCGCAAAGATTGTAGAAATGATTTCTGGGAGCTCTAGACTCCTTCAGAAAAGTTTCAAGACACTTTTGGGCAGTGTCTGAAACAAAAGGAACTGTTTTTCCCCCAAAGGGGCTTTTACAGGTTCAGTTGTGTCCTCCAAGAAAAAATATGTTGGAGTTCTAGCTGGTACCTCAGACTATGACCTAATTTGGAAATCGGGTCTTTACAGAGATAAGCCATACTTGGGATCTGTCATACTGGACCTAATGCAGTATGACTGGCGTCCTAATAAAAAGGGGAAGTTTGAGCACAGAGATAGGTACTCACAGAGAGAAGATGATGTGAAGAGACACAGAAAGTAGCCATGTGAAAGTGGAGGCGGAGCCTGGAGTGACGCATTTACAGCCAGGGAACACCAAGCACTGCCTGCCACCAGCAGACCTGGGAAGAGGAGAGGCAGTGTCCGCCCCGACAGCCCTCAGAGGGACACGCGGCTGTACTGACACCTGATTTCAGACCCTCAGCCTCCAGAGCTCTGAGACCACCGAGAGTAGTACTGTTATGTAGGCTCTGGAAAGCTGATACCTTTTGAGTAACAGCAAAGCACCCTTAACCCTACCAGACCTGAGGCCCTGAACCTAACTGTCCCCTATACCTGGGCTCCTGAGCATTAAAGAGAAAAAACCCACATGATATAGAAAAATGTTAGTTACATGCAAACAAGTGGTTAGAATAAGATGGAACTTGGAGACATTGTAGAAAATAGGTCTACCTTTCATCTAGCGCCAATATTCCACCTTTGTGTGCCAATCCACCCAGCAGGATGAGCCTTGTTTCACACAGAGGTACTTCTTGCAAAGTGAGCACCAGATGTTGCTCTTCACCTTCTTGCATGGATTGTCTTTGTAAGACACTCCAGGATTTTGCTTGTTGTACCTGGAGTGCTTTTCCATGCACACAACACAGATATGATTAGATAAGATATGATTAGAAATTACCAAAAAATCGGTACAGCGGTCTGGTAGGGTTAAAAGTTGTACTTGTGGGGTGCCAGGGTGTGCCCCATGTTTGTTCTAAGACCAAGGGAAGAAGCCACCCTTTGCCTCTTGGGGTTCTTGTTATGAATTTTTGTCTCTGGTCCCCCTAGCGCCCTAGGTCCCTACCCCTCAGGTGAAAGGTGCCACCTGTAACGTGCCCTGCATTTCAAATCTTGGAAGTTGAATTCTGTCCAGCACTTAGTGTTTTCAAAATCCAAAATTCCTTTAAAAATGTTTTATTTTATTATGGTGAGAACACTTCACATGAAATCTTCCCTCTCAATAAACTTCTAAGCACACAGTCCCTTCTTGCTGACTCCGGGAACGATGCTTATTCATCGTTCTTCATCTAGAACTTATTCATCTTGCTTAACTGAAACCTTTCGCCCACTGAATAGTAACTCCCCATTTCCCCCTCCCCCAACCCAAACTCTCGAGCTGTCCTCCTTGCCCACGTGAGAGCAGCATGTCGGACAAGGTGCATACATGGTGGTCACAGGACGTGGGGAAGTGGTGTCAGAAGGCTTGTGGTTCGCTCTCTGCAGCACCCAGATCTTGCTTAGGGGGGCAAGGGAGGTCAGGCCAGTCCCTGGGGTACCAAGGAGCTGGGAATGGGGTGAATGTGGAGGCCAGAAGGGCTTCCACCCTGAAAAGACACAGAGAGGATTGCAGATTTTAACATGACAGCTCTCAAGAATAAGAGTTGCCCAGATGGGCAGTTACACAGAAGGGGTTATGCAACATGGATAAGCAGGACTTGTGAAAGCATTGCCGTGTCACAGTGACATATGACAACTCAGCCCCAATTCCTGCTCCCCTCCAGGTCACAGGGACAGAGAGCCTTTAGCAGGACAATGGGGAGCTGGCCAGAAGTGGGAGCCGAAGCAGAAATTGTAACAGGAGCCTGAAGAGGAAAGGGCATTGCCCTCCTTCGGCAGCTTGTACCCCACGGGGATGAGGGCATGGGGCATGAGGCACCAGCCTCCAGGTTTGGTCTGCACGTGGTTTGCAGCTGGAGGTGGGGGATTTGGGCTGTGAATGCAGACTCTGAGGTGAGTGGGGCGTCCTCTGGGGACCCTGTGTATCAGGGCACAGATCACAGATGCCTTTGAACACCCTCAGAGCATCCTGCTGGAGGCTGTGGTCCCAGCCTTGGGTCAGTTATCTTCTGTGTAACACACCACCCCAAAACTTCAGAGGCTGAAAGCAATCACTTTTTATTTCCCACAGTTCTGTGAGCTGACCATTGGTTCTTCCACTGGTCTTGCCCAGGCTCACTCGTGTGCTGGCTTGGCTAGGGCAGGATGCTCTCAGAGACCCTTGCCCACGAGACCCTTCACGCTGGGTGTCCTTCCTGCATGGCGGTCCCAGGGCTCTGAGGGGACTGGAACAGAAACTTCAAGCCTCTTAAAGCCTCAGCTATGAAACTGCCCCGCACTCTGCTGGGCAAAGCAAAGTCCCAAGAGACCATCAGGGGCTTGGACAAGGGTGCACGTCATTGAGGCTGTCTCTCCGCTTCATCCCCAGCCCCTAAGAGGTTGGCAGGTGTAGTGGCTTCGTATTGAACCCAGGTTCGCCCGAGGCCTCACTGTCACATTGGTCCTCTCTCCATCAAATGCAGGTGGGGATGTTTAAGATCCACCCAGAGGTTCCTGAAGCTCTTTCAGCAGAAGCCAGAGCCTTCATTTTGTCCTGTTTTGAGCCTGACCCCCACAAACGTGTCACTGCCGCCCACCTACTCAAAGAGGGTTTCTTAAGGCAGGTGAACAAGGCCAAGAAGAGCCGAATTGCTTTCAAGCCATCAGGTGAGGCCTACTGGGACAGCTGGGTGACCAACCCCCTGGGACCCAGACTTCCCTGTACCTTAGAGTGCCAGCTCTCCAGAGCACTGAGCTTCCCACGTGGCGCCCAGTTTTGTGAAGTGTGGGGGTGGGGGGATGGGAGGTGCAGCAGCTGTGGGATTGTCAAAACCTATCCAATGAATGCCCCTCGATTTCCTAACAGGTGCACCAAGAGCCCCACAAGTGATAATGGTGCCCCTCCTTTGTGAAAGCCTTCCTTTGGGGACTGTGGGGGAGGCGAGAAAGGCCCCCAGCTGGGGTTTTGAGTCTTCCCCACCTGCAGGGCCTGGTTGTCAGTTTTGGAGCCTGGCCTATCCCCCTGTGCTGCCCCTGATCTTGATTAAAGGGCATGTCATGTCGGAGAAGTTTGCCTGTGGCAGCTGTCCTGCAGGCCACTGCAGAACCCCTTCTAGGGCAGTACGTCCTACTGGCAATGACTTAAGACTGGCCCCCGCAAAGGAAGCCCTTTGTTCTTTTCCCTGCTGTGGATGGTCCAAGGCAGGACAGAGCTGCTCAGCATCTTGCGCCGGAAGCATGCCTAGCTATGTCAGTGTTCCCTGCAGGCTGCTTAGAAACGCGCAGCCTCAGCCCGCCCCAGACCCGCTGAAGCAGGAGCTGCGTGTCACCCGGACCCCTGGGTGTTTGTGTGTACCAGTTAGGGCAACACAGGCGCAGCAAGCCCCAGCATTGGTCCTGTCTGAGCCTCTCCCTACTTCTCTGACGTCTCCCCAACTCCAAGCCTCCCAGCTCCCCATCTGAGCCTCCATTTTCCCTCTCACAGTCTTCCATATCTGAGGCCCCATCCTCCCCCCCAGCTCCCCGTCCTTCTCTGAGCCTCCCCGGGAGCATTCTTCCTTTCTGAGATACTCTCCAGCATCCCCCCTTTCTGATCCTACTTCCCCCTCTGTGCCTCCCCCTCCTTCTTTGAGCCCCCATCTTTTTCTGAGCCTCCCCCAGCATCCTCCCTCTCTGAACTTTTCCCCTTTTCAGTCTGCCCTCTTTAAACCTCCATCCTCCCTGGGTGAGCGCCCCGCCCCCCCCCCAGCATCCTCCTTCTCTGAGCCTCCCCCCCATGTCTGTCCCCACACAGAGGGTGCCCGGGGCACGGCCCTGGCACTGTCCACACAGAGGGAACCCACAGGCAACAGCGAAGTTATCGATGTGTCCTCGGACTCGGATTCCTACTCGCATGTGTCCTTCGAGAAGGCCCGGGAGCCCAAGCGCCAGCTCAGCCTGCTCAGGTACTTCTGGCCCCATCCTTCTGCTGTGGGTCTGTGAGGAGTGCTCTGGCCCGGGGGCAAAATACCTCCTAGGTCAAAACCAGATGGCCTTGCAGAGTTTCACTTCCTTTCTGCTTGGTCGGTTGGGCAGCGGGGTGGTGGGTGGCCAACAGTGTGGGGAGGGGGGGAGTAGTGTGCTCCTTCCCCCCTTCCGCTCCTTACTCCCCCTACTCTGCAGTCTTCTCTGCCCCTCCTTTCTCTCCTTCCTCCTTCCCCCCTCCCCTTTTCCCTCCCTTTCCCAACACTGGTGCTACGGGTTAGGAAACACTGCATCCCTCCTCCATCAGCCTGCCTCCTGCAGTTTCATCTCCTAGAGGGCAGGGCTGAAGAGGAGCCACCTCTTAACCCCTCCCCTACGGGGTCCTAGCATGGAGGCTTTGCCCAGGGGACGTAGGGGTTGTTTGTCGCCTGTGTTTGTCCTCAGTGTTCCGGATGAGAGCTCGACCTGGGAAGACCAGAGCACAGCCTCATCCACCGAGGACAGGGACCTGGGCCTCTTCCAGCTGCGCAAGGACAGTGAGCGACGCGCTATCCTGTACAAAATCCTCTGGAAGGAGCAGAACCAGGTGGTTTTCAACCTGCAGGACTGCGTTTTGCAGGTACAGGCTTGGGGTGGAGGATGGGGGTGCACCCAGGTCCCGGCACGCATCCAATGGGACCAAAGCTCCTACTGCCCTGGAACATTTGCAGTTACAATAATCACCAGAAGTATTCCCCAGCGTCTTTCCCTCCTCCAACAAGAGAAAATACAAGGAAAAAAAAGGCTCCCCTGAAACCAGTTGGTGGAACGCTGCAGCGAGGCTAGGCATAGCTGGGTCGGTGCTGCCTCCTGGTGGCAAACCAGCCAAATGGCAGCACAAAGCTCAGGGGCGCCCAGCCTTTGCCCTGCTCTGGGAAAACAGCTCCTTTGAGGAGAAAGGTTATGGATGAAAATCTTGGAATCAACTTATTTGGAATGGGAAAAGTTCCATTTAGGAAGAGGCCACTGCCCAACTCTGCTCCTTCTGACAAAGCCTGTTCAAGGGCGGGCATTATGGGGGGTTAAACGGGATGGTGGAAGCTTTCCTAGAGGGGCTTTGTTGTGAGTGTGTGGGGGGCAGCGAGAAAATGGGGCCACATAACCCTCTGACAGGAAAGATGGAGGGAATTCCAGGAACAGACCCTGCCTCACCTGTGGCGTCCACATTTCCTTTAGCAAATGCATAATGGACAGTCTACTTAACCTAGATTCCCATCTTACTTGAGTTTTCCCTTCCTCCCTGACTTACTCAGTGAAAGGGATTTGTGTGTGTGTCTGTGTGTGTGTGATCAGAGTTCTGAAGAGTTGCACCTCTCAGTCGGCCACATCAAGCAAATAATTGGGATTCTGAGGGACTTCATCCACACCCCGGAGCACAGGGTGATGGCATTGATGATATCAAAGCTAAAGGTGGACCTGGACTTTGACAGCGCATCCATCAGTCAGATTCACCTGATACTGTTTGGATTTCAGGATGCTGTAAGTACTTCCTCTGGCCCTAGAGAACATGCCTGAAGGCAGGATGCCCACCGAAGCAGCTCCTAGCCAAACCCATGGAGTTTCATTACCATCTTCTCCCATAGTCCCCATCTCCTCTCACCTGTTTACACCTGAGCCCCGAGTTAGCAGTTCCTTCTAAACACTGAACATGCGAGTGCAGGTGAATGGGCCAACTGAATTTGGCCACGGAAGGCAAGAGTATAGGATTTGGGAACAAGTGGCATCTGCCAGCTGACTAGGGTTGGGGCTTAAGCTTATGTATGTGTCTCCCCAAACAGATGAGTTGCTCCAGGCCCAAGACCACATCTGGCTCAGCTTTGTGTCCCAAGCCCCCAACACAGAGTCTGAGGTTTCATAGGTGCTCAGTAAGGGCTTGTTGAATAAGTGACGAAGAGGTCCAATGCGGGTAGATGGATTACTACCCATTTGCTGGACCCCAGCATGAGTGCAGGTCAGCTTGGAGAAAGATTCAGTCCAGAAAAACACACAAGTCAGGTAGAAATCCAGAGCACAGCACCAAAGTTAACACTTTGTCTCAGAGTAGAAGCAAAATAGAATGAGAAAGAATGTGTACATTTCAGAAGTCCAATGGACCAGAAATTTGGATTTTTGTGATTTGTAGGTAAATAAAATTTTGAGGAACCACTTAATTAGGCCCCACTGGATGTTTGCGATGGACAACATCATCCGGCAAGCAGTGCAGGCTGCAGTCACCATTCTCATCCCAGGTAAGTGCCTGCTTTTCGGTCAAGGTGAGCTTTCAAGCTATGGAAATAAGAAATGTCCTCTGCATGTAACAGCTGTTGCTTTCTCTTTCCCATTTTGGCTGTATGCTTTCCTGCAATGAAGTAATGCTGCCACAGACCCTTTGGGGCTAAGATTCTGATTCTAAGAATTTCTTTTGGTGCTGTATTTCCGTGCCCACCCCCCTCCCTGGGCAGAACCGAGAACACATGTAAACTCGTGATGTAAAAGGGGTCATTGACCCTACAGTGCATCCTGCTGTGTGCTCAGAAACACCTAATGGTTGGTGGGTGATTTAGTGGCAGTCCCCTTGCAGAATCACCATGCAGTAGCTATAGAAATCTTTGGCTTTTGTCGACTGAGAGAGCAGCTTAATACCCAAGCTGATTTTCCTTCTGTGGTGACTTGTCTGATGAAGGGAGGTTTGCAACACTTGTGTTGACACTGCCACTTCCTCTCTTGACTCTGCTGCGCCCCTGTCTTCTGCCCACGCCCCTGAATGCACTGAGCCCAGGCTCAGCTTCCTTCCCGAAGAGGCCCGTTAATACCCAGGACTGCGCTGCTCCCCACTCCCAGCAGGTGGCTTTCTGTAGTAAAAGAACTCAGGCCACGTTGGAAGCCCTATTGTACCTTTTTAGAACTGTCCTTGGCTAACATCTTTAAGCCTCCGTTTTCTCACCTGTAAACTGGGGTGATCATATTTGCATACAGAGAACTGAAATTAAGTCTCGTCTCCATTTATAAAGTCACAAGTCCCTGGATAAAGTGTGGCAGTGGCCAGGCCAGCCTCTGAATGGCCTTGTTTGCTGGCGTCAGGCATAAGCTACATGTGGCCCTGGCTTGTTGAACCACAGTCCTTTCTTCTTCCGTGATTTCTCAGAGCTCCGAACCTACCTTGAGCCGACCGAAGGGGTAGACATGGAAGAGGACCATCTCCCAGCAGAGCTACCTGGAAGCGAAGCACATGCGATATGCGGAGGGAGCAGACCCGCTTCAGCACTTGATGAGGCCCAGCCCCAGCAGCGCCTGAGCCTCCAGCTGGGCGAGCTCAGGCAGGAGACCAACAGGTCAGCAGGGGCGGGACAATGACCTAGACCAGCAAAGCAATCGGTTTAGTTGAGTGCTTTACCCAGGTTTCAGAAAAGCATCTTCACCAAGGAACTGGGCCACATGCCTTTCTTTGGGGAGTCAGAGAGGTCCAGTGCTTGCCACAGGCCACACAGAAATGAACCATACTAAAGGCAGCAGCATCTCGTCTTTTCTGTTGTTGCCACATGGGGCCCTGGGCATGGCCTGTGGGTGCAGCAGGCGCAGCAGTGGACATCTGCAGCCTGCCGCCACACAAGTAGCCAAGTTGGGGATTGGTTAGCACTTTGTCGATGGCATATGTCCTATAACTCTGACCCCAAAGAATTTTTTAAATTAACTGGTAGTAGTGGCAGAATTTGTAAAATTTTAGAAATATGACAGATGTGAAAGTTGATAGTAATAGTTAGCACTTCTTTAAAATGTTTTTCTAGTCGTTTGTAATTACCCAGTTCATCGTTATATATGGGCTTGAAGGTTATTCTTCTCCACTGCTGCTACTCTGTCATCCTCCAGTCTCGGTAGAATTAGTAATTAAATAGCTAGCACCTGACTGCAAACAGCTGACAAACATGGTCCCTACAAAGCACTCCTGTCTTTGTGGTATGGAGGTGGAGGATGGTGCCTACGCCCAAAGTGATCCTGACGGGGTGGGTAACTGGTCTGTCCCAATGAGCATGAGACCAGCTCCTGTGCGGCGATCAGCAGGCCTTCCTGCTTTCTGTAAAGGTTCGCAGTAGCATTCCTCCCACCCTTCAGATCAGTGCTTCTCCTGTGCCTCTCCCCGCAAGCTGTTCCATCAGGAGCTTGGCTTCTGTCTCCCTCGCTTTGTCCCCGGAGGAAAGAGCCTGACTAGTTGAGGAGACAAGTTGAAGTTATCAGGTCATCCCAGATCATCTTTCCGGCCGAGTTCCGCCAGGGTTTCTTTTGGTTCATGGCACATTTTGAGACAAAATATAGCCATGCTCTGAGCGCTGGTCTTTGTTTTGAAGGGGAGAAACACAAGGAAGGTGCCCCTGTGCGGGCTGAAACCTGACCACGGAACTTTGAAGAAGTAGACTGACCATTGGGGTTGTGCCATTTCTTTTCAATCTAATGTTCAATAAATGTTTGAGTTGAATTGAATGGTGTTAAGACTCTTTCTGGGTTTTTTTTTTTTAAAAACAGACTTTTGGAACACCTACTTCAAAGAGAGAGAGAATACCAGAATCTTCTACGGCAGAACCTAGAACAGAAAACTCAAGAATTGTATCAACTTCAGTTACAAATCAAATCTGATGGTGAGTGATTTTCCACTTGCTCTGACTTAAATGTGTGACACCATTTAAAATGTCGCTAGTATTCTAGCCAGCCTTCACACAGCTGAGGTTGGTCTCTGTTGAACCAGTTAAGTAATGCAGTAGATTCTGGACTACTAATCAGTAATAAAAAGGAACTACTGGTACATTCAGAAACACGGATGCATTGCAAATGCATTATGCTAAGTGAAAGAAATCAGATTCAAAAGGCTACATGCTATGACCCCATAAACATATAATACTTTATACAATATACTGTTCAAGGCAAAACTACAGGAACAGAAAACAACGCGGAACGGGCAGGGGCCTTATTATAAAATAAAGACCACGAGAACTTTTTGGGGGTCATGGAAATTTCTGTATCTTGATTATAGTGGTCATATGACTGCTTGTCACAGTTCACAGTGCTGCATAACTAAAGAAAGGGTGCTTTACTGCATAAATTATACCTCAGTAAACCTGCCTTGTTCATTTTGTGCCACTTACTAAAGGGCTTACAGCTACCTGTTGGAATGGGTAAGCTCTGATGCAAAGCCTCAATACTGAAACCATTTCTCCATTTGATTTCCAGTGCAGTTAGGGATGTGATTCCTTAGAAAAGACATTTTGAAGACAGGAAATATGCATTTAAAATGACAAACATACTAAATTCCATATAGGTGGTAGGTAAGGATTATTTGAATCTCTAGAGTGAATCCAAGAACTGCAGATTGTTGTGCAGTGTGTGCTAGAGCAGCTGAGTCAGGCTGAATGCATTTCCTTTTCACATCACATTTACATTCTGCAAGTTTATTTCAACCAACTTCTTTTGAAGAGTTTTACTATTACACATCAATATACAACAAAACAAATTTCTAATCCTTACATATTACAGGGAACCCAGCATCCCCGCCTGAGCAGAGGACAAATAAAGACCTTGTAGACTGGTTACAACTGCAAGGAGCAGATGCAAATGCAATTGAAAAGGTAAATTTACACGAACCCCCACCCCTCAAAAAAAAACCCATTCCTGTTATTACAAAGGTGCTTAGTTTCTATGTATTTGATCTTTGTTTCAGATTGTTGAAGAGGGTTTTACACTTTCTGATATTCTTAATGATATCACTAAGGAAGATCTAAGATATCTTAGACTACGGTAAGAATAGCCTCAAAGCACTTTGTAGATAATGGCTTTTTCATGTGATTATGCTTTTAAATAAAGCAGTAGAAAAGAAAGTGCTGGTATCTTTCCCTATGGCTTAGTCAGAAAGCTCCAAACTCTTGGAGTTTCCCCAGGTTGAAGTTGGAAAAAGCCACGAGGTGGCAGAAGCTGACGGCCCGGCAGGACAAGTCAGACAGAAGTAGGAAGGCGACAGAAGTGCTCTCCTCCTCCTGCCATCCGTGCTCTACCCAACCCCTTTCTTTAAACTGCATTCTCCTTCCCGTAGCATCTTACATGGCCTGCTCAGCAACAGATGTACAAATCGATGTGTGAAGAGAATATGTTTCTATTTTAGTTAAGCTTTTAAGACTAGATGGCAAGTCTAGACAAGCCAAGAATTATATGCTATCGTCTTTGCCATAAGGGCACCTAAAGAAGTATTCTGTGGTGTTGCTTGGACTCTAAAGGAGACTCTTGTGTTGTTTTGTAGTGGTGGGCTCCTCTGCAGGCTCTGGGCTGCAGTCTCCCGGTACAGAAGACAGGCTCAGGAGTCTCTGGCCACCCACAATGATGCTTAACCAGCCAGCTGGGCCAGGGCGAAGAGGGAGCAAGGAGCTGATGTGTCTGCTGCTAAAGCATTACTGCTGTTTAAGATGTTTCTTTTAACATGTTGTTAATGTGTGTGATAGATGAGTAGAACTGTATGTACTGAGAACAGTGATTGTGAGCCCTAATTTTGACTAGGGTATTATAGAATTCTTAAAAAGAAATTTTAATATATTTCAATGAAAAAATTAGTACACCCTATATGGCACTCATTGGAAAGGTGCAACAATGGGTGTTCAAAATAATTTGAGTTCAAAATAACATAAAAGGCTGGAAATCACTGTTTAAGGTTATACGTTACTATTAACTGGCATTGCATTTAAATTTGTAAAAGAAATTTGATACAAATATGCCTTGTATTTAATGTTTGATATGACTGTATAAATGGGGATATCTAAGTTATTTGGCCTTTGCAACGATTCTGAAGTATTCCTATTTAAATACAGAATTGTCCTTCTACCTGCCTGTTTGTGATAAATATTGTCTGCATTAAGGTACGCTGTGGGGGTAATGTCAGTATGCCAACGGAATGAGCCCCCCACAAAGAGCCCCCCACAAAAAGGTGGCAGTCAGACAGGCATACAAAGAATTGTTTTTCCTTTTAGTAGTTAAAAAGTACTTGTTACAATAGTATACAACTAAATCAAATAAAACTACGTGAAGGAAATAATTTGAAAGAAGGTTAAGCTAACTCTATACTGTCTATTTTAGACCTATACAGATCTTAAAAGCCTTTAACGTTCACACTAAACAGTTAAGTGTGCAATAACATCTTCTAATTCAACACTATATAAACTGCATGCACTTACTAGCTTAATCTACATACTTTCCTATGGGGTTTCCCTTCTTAACAAAGTTGAGAATAGAGTTCCTTACAGTTGCTGTCAAATAGCCCACTGAAGGTGTAACCATGCATACGTGCACTCTCCCTTTAACTGACGGACTTAAACTTGATCCACTGATTTGCACCCCGAACTTCAAAAGGTGGATCGTTGGAGTAGATGTGATAGCCCAGTTCTTCCAAAGGCGGTTCAGGATCAGCTGTGGCAAACTGGGCGGCATCCTCAATTTCTTTCCTCACTTCAACATCAATTTCCTAAAAATCAGATTTACAGTTGAAGAGATTTTTTGAATAAACAGCTTAGGTACTGACTAGTTCTACTCACAGCCTGTTACTGGTGTACCTACAATTCTTCTAGTATTAGAAATACTAATAGCTGTTATTTTCAAAGATGTTATTTTTTAACTAAATGACATAATGATCTACCCAGAAACATTTTGGAGTACAGACGCCAACATTTAAAAAAAAACAGATATACCCTGGCAAGGGAACATTTATGAATAAAAAATCAAAAGTATATTTCTATGGGAAAACACCGTGTTCTGGGGGGGTTTAAAGGCTTTGCCAAAATGACTGATTATGGACTTTACTTTCCCATTAGGAGCGACAGCTTTTTGTATACAGAAAAATCGATTGGTCAGAAAGGAGAGCCCGCCGTTAAAGGCAGACTTTAAACCACCGAAAGTGATGGTACCTTTAATTCTTCAACACTGGCAAGATTGCTGTTCACCATTCTATCCTTGAGAAGCATGATAGGGTCACTCTTACTTCTTACTTCCTGAATTTCTTCTCGTGTACGGTAACTACAGGGAAGGAAACGCAGTGAGAAGTGGGTAAGAACAGGTCCAGTATAGCAAAGACAGTTCTGTGAAACACGGGGCTATGATTATGGGATGAGGAAATGCATCAACACTTATGTCACTGAGGAAATGGCAGAATTACACTTTCAAAGTGTAAGAACTCAGCCTAACATTCTGTAAGAGCTGCTTGTTTCTTTTATAGAAAACCTTACACTGGTGATTCACCTGGCTTCTCCAGCATTCTGACAACAGGGGCCAAGTTTCTATTTGCTGCTTTGATCTAGAGATAGGATATGAAGAAGCGGTAGAGCCTCTTTCTGGCCCACCCTTTTGAGCTCCTACATTTCACACGGGACAGTGGAGATGGTTCTTATGTGGTGATTACCACAGACTCTGAGGCAGCAAAATGCCAAGCAGGAAATAAATGTGCCTTGTCTTTCTCCCTTAAGATATCAGAGAAGTGTGGCCAGCAAAAACTTAGGAGGTTTTCCAATTCTTGAATCTATAATACATCCTTGTCCCACACATCATTTAACACTAAAAGCAAGGGCTCTACCATTTTTTGAAAGCAGAATTACAAAGTGCATTTTTCCATATAACATTCCCTTAGAACTCCATTCTACACTCCAACACTTGTTATGGCTTACCCTGACTAAATCTACTGTGTGTCACACTCTGGGACTGCAGCATTACATGAAAGAGTTACTATGTGACAAGTAAAACTCCTTTTTATGACTGATCTATTCTAACATTTTGAGTACCCCATGTGCCAGCTGGCCTTGCTCCATGCCAGCCAGAACATTTTCAAATTATGACTCTTCAGGAGGAATATACCACGAAGAAATTTGTAGTAATGCCTACAAAAGTTAAATGACCCCCAATATACTACTTTACCATTGCTTTATGGAACAATTTCTCCCTGCAATTTTATTTTATTGCTGCTCATGCTAACATGTAGACACTATATATAATAGGGATTTTCAGAATGCTCTCTATATTGGAACGAATTCATCGGGAGGCACTGCTTTCAGGCTAGGACACAAATAACTACTTGATGCCAACTAATTCAGTGCATGAAGCCAACTGGTGTCTGGCTTCAAAGCAAATGTTGAAATGCTTTGTTTTTTTCGTATGAGTAGCACCATTCAAAGCCCACCCAACTTTGGGCACCATGCTCAGATTTCCCATGACCATACCTGACTCCAGGATCACTCATGCTGTGTCCATGGTAACGGTAAGTCTGCAGCTCCATCAGTATGGGCCCCTAAAACGGAACCCAAAGAAGACAGGTGAGACACAGGCACAGCACATCCTTTCAGGATTAAAGATACTCTCATCAGACATTGTATTGGGTTGTCGGAAAAGTCATGACATAGTCTTTTCTGGTTTTCATTGCAAAAATGCGTCATGACTTTTCCGACAGCCCAATATAAATCAGCGGAGTTGTCAAGAATTTATTAGTTGACTGATTCTTAAGTTATCTGTTCTCATTTCCAATACCGATTTATTGCATGTTTCATCCTCATTTTTAACAGGAACCTAATAAAAGCAATCTGCCATAGCCGGTTTTGAATCAAAAAGGCATTTAGCATGTTATAGAGCCCATTGATAGTAAATAAAGAATTGTCTATTTTATGAACATTGCATTTGATGACTAATATGGCAGCGGGAGAGGGGATGGATGGCTTTTGCTAGTATCTTCAGTGTCAACAGGCTGGTCTTTTCCCCTCAGTCACAGACGAAATGATCTACAAGTATTCTGATCCTTTTAAAATGCTACAGAAAAATACTAATATAAACTCTAACAAAACAGATTAAAAGCAAACCTCTATGTGTGCTGGAAAGTACAGAAGGATGGGAGAAGTAAAGACAGGCTGGGTAGATGGATTTCCACCTCACACCCATTTCAGGCAGGATTTTGTAGGGGCTGGCAACCAATCCTGCTTCACACAGACCTGGCTCATGTGGAACAGAAAGCTGACAGGCACTGAAGACCTGATACTTAACCCAGTGACTCTGCTGGAGTCTGGCCAGCCCAACTACCACCAGCTAGCTTGCTTGTGCTACACTAGCTCCCTTCCAGAAAACGACTTTGAACAGAGTGGAAGGAGGTAGGTCTAGGATCTCTGGGTAGTTTGGTGTAGTGGTTATAAAGGGGGGCTCTGAGTTCAAGTGCTTGGGCTCTAATCCTGGCTGTATATAGTAGCCATGTACCCTTAACTGCTCTGTGCCTCAGTTTCCTCATCTGCAAAATAGTAATAACCTGACTCAGTGTTGTACCATTAAAATAAAATACATAAGTGTTCAGTGTGTTACCTGACATGTCAATCCTTCAATAACTTGTCACCCATTCTTTGTCATGTAATCCAGCAACCATTTGGAAACACAATGGGTTGGGCTAATGGGGGTGGTGATAAGGGGGTTTGCAGACCCTCACCTAATTCCAAGATTAGGCTTTGGTCAGGCTGGGAAAGTCCACACATGTTATAAACCACTGATCTGTTTCCATGTAGGGATGGACCCCACCTATTCTTTCAGGAACTGGGAGATGGATGGTACCCACCACCCAGGGCCTGGACCCCTAGTTCTGACGTAGACTGCAGAGCCTCCTGGCACCAGCCTGCCATCCTGGTCATGCTCTATTTTATGACTCTCACTTTCTCTTGTTCAATTGCTTTTTATTTCCCTCCCTGCTTCGCCCATTTTCATCACTGCTAGCCAAATCTTATTTGCATTACTGCCTGAACACACACACAGCGGAAGTTACTGAACGGTAAACCTCAGGGGCATGCTTTCTGGGCTGTGGAACACTGATTTAAGGGAGAAGAACAGGTTTTCATTAGCTCTGATGGCACGTAAGCCTCTTTTCAGGCCAATCTCACTTCCCCTGTTGCTCTACTGCTGTAACTAAAAGGTCAAGATTCTTAGGACTGAAACAACAACACTAAGAATTATATACTTTAACCATAATATTTCATTTATAGAATACAAACTTGTACTAAATGCCTATCTTATAAGCAAAGTTCTGTGCTGAGCACTGCAGGGGTCCCCAATGTGTCAACTCAAGGGGCTTATAATTAACGGGGGGTTGGAGGCACATAATTAACCAAAACAAAAGGCAAACCAGATTAAGTGTCACAATGAAGACAGGCAAAATGCTAAGGAAGCACTGAAGAAAAGAGTTACCCCAAGTGGGGGCAACGTGGACTATTTCCCTGGAGGTGAGCTACCAAGATGATGCTATTTATGAAGGGATCCAATTCACTCGACTGGACTCTGCTTCTATCTCATACAACTCAATCAGCAGCTGCCCCAGAATAGCTACGATAGACATGGGGGAGGCATTCTTTTAATTTTAAGATAGATAAACATCATTAAAAATGTCTAGTTTAGAGGCCTAAGAGAAGAAAGCCTTACTTTTCCAGATCGACAGTGGGCGGCTGCAAACTTTGTCGCCTCCCGGACACACAGGACATCCATTCCATCTACCTGTTAATACATAGGAAAGGGGGCAAAGCATAAATCAAACTAAAGCCATTTTAGTTCTACATGACCTGTTCCTGCACTAAGAAAATAGAACACTTCAATTTGAGATTGTCAAGGGCATGCACAGAGGTATCGAGCCATGAGGGTGTAGCCAGGTGTCCTTACCCTCAGCCCAGGAATGAAGTCGCCTCTCTTATAGTAATCAGTGCTGGCTGCTGCTCTCTCAACAGACGTTCCCATTCCATAGCGGTTATTTTCACAGATGAAAATACAAGGCAATTTCCACAAAGCTGCCATATTGTAAGCTTCAAATATCTGACCCTGGAAATATGTAAGGAAGTTCAAGTGGTTTCATTTTTCTATTTTTCTCTAGACTTCACCATCCTAACAGCTGCTGTTCTACCTGGCAGAGAAAGCTTTCATAAAGGATAAAAAGCCTCATCTTTTATAAGCAAGCTTCTGAGGAAAGGAGTGTGTGTGCTGGGGTGGGGGTGGGGGGAGAAGCAGCAAGCATCATCTCTTTTGCAACTAAGAGAAGTAACAAACCCAACACCACCACTTGTTTCTGTGGGGTCAAGGCAACAGAACAGACTACACCGGAGAGAAGAGCAACACGTGAAAACATGTGGCTTCCGAGTTTGTTTTATTTTAAGTTCTATGAGACCCACTGGATCACCAGTGAACCAGTGTCTGAGAATCAGCATCCAGACCAGGGCCTCACAAAGTGTTAGCCACGGACTGGTGATGACTCAGACCATGACAGGGGAAGCAGAGACAGAGTCAGGGCTCGGAAACTATACTATGAGAGGAGTCTGACAATGCCAAGGCGTCTGAGAGACTGAGCTTGCACATCACAGTACTGGTTTAAGAATTAGTTTGCAGTGGGTTAAAATATAAAAAGATCCTTCACTACAGAGCTTGTGAAGCACTGAGGTAGACCTAAAGAGTGCTCCCTCACAGGAGTGCGCTCCTATAAAGCACTTGTGAAACATGCCAAGAGGCAAATCTCATCTGGCCATAAAATCAAATTTTAGCGTGCCATGTGAATGGCTATTTCAACTACTTCTCTACAAAACGGGCCTATGAATATTCAACACTTTGGAAATAAAATTATATTCATTATTAGAAAGTTAAAGAGACATGTACTCACCTGATTAGCAGCGCCATCACCATATAAAGTCAAACAGATCTCATCTTTTCCGTTATACTTACAGGCCAGAGCAATCCCAGCTCCCAGGGGCACCTAACATTAAGGACAATCAAGAAAGGAACCACAGAAATCCATGAGTGAAGAAATTAGTGTTCTGAATTTTAACTCCTGGACAGAAATTGAGATAGAAATTACACTGTCCCTATAAACTCTTCCTACCCCAACCTTTTCTCTGCTTACCTCACCCCTAATATTATAAACAAACCAGTAAAGTAAGATGAATAATAATTATACTCTACTTCAACCGTTTAAACAATAACATTTCTGCACTCAATTCTAAAAATGAAACCTAGGTTTTTTTTAAAAAAAAAATTGTGGAATCTCAACATATTAGAAAGTAAACCAAACATTCTAGATATGATTTTATGCTGTTACTTCTTCATAACTCACTAATTGATGAGAACAAAGAGGACTATGTAACCACAGAAGTTGGCTTTGGATTCTAACTAGGCCCTGAGATCCTGATCACCTGCCTCTCCTTGTCTGGCACCGGCATCAGCACTGCCTACAGCAGGGAGGTAGGGCAAAGTGTATGTGATGAAGCAATTAATGTACCTAAATATAAATAAAAAGGTGAAGGTACAGCTCCACTGCTACAGGCTCTTGCTTACTTATAAAACAAATACTGTAACAAATACTGAAAAGGAAAAATTTTAAACCATGGTCCAAAGCTACCTATTAAATGATCAAATGGTGGGGCATGAAGCAATAGGTCTTTTAAGCACACTAAGCCCCTGAAGTACTAAAATACATCAGAGGGAAGTTCTCTGGGGTATGAACTATGATAAAGACACAGGCCAGGGCCAAATCTAGGAAAGCATGCACTCCTCTTTGTGGCTACCTGAGCTCCGACGATGCCATTGCCCCCGTAGAAGTTCTTGGCATACATATGCATTGATCCTCCTTTTCCTTTAGCACAACCTCCTCTTCGTCCTAGAAATGGCAGCATACGCACATATGCATCAAACAAATACACAAAAGCACACCCCAAGCATTTACTTAAGAGGTTCAACCTTTAGAACTCAGAGGCCAATTCAATTGTATAATCAACTGCCTCTCTAAGCAAACAGGTATCCCTCCTTGTCTCCAGACTCTTTTTTTAAATTTTTATTTATTTTTTAGCTGAGCCATCCTGCCACCTGTTGGTAGCTTAGCGGCAGCTCAGCTCAGGCCGGGCATCAAACTGCTGTTGCTCAGAGCTCAAACTCTTGAGCGAGCTCTTAACCAACTGAGCCACTCGGCCGGCCCTCTCCAGACTCTTATAATGAAGACCAGACCAGTCCCATGTTTTTTACCTTTCCAACTTTTCCAGTTCTCTAATCACTGAGTTTCCTTTAAATGTTAAAGCATAGCACCCTAGCCTTTTTTTTTTTTTTGCCAGTTACGAAACGTCTTCTGATTTCTCCTAACACTGGTACACTAAACAGTTCAAGAGTCAAAGGGGGCGAAGATGAAGGGTTATTTAAGAAGATTCATAGAATTTAAACTGCATACCATGAAATGCTTCTATTCAATTTATTTTCTATGGCTACTAGATTTCTGCTGGCATGCTTAAGTATAATAAACACATTCTCATGTTATAGAACTAACCTTTTAAACCTTTTACCTGAGGGGTTAGATGACCTCAAAAATGGTCAGTTTACTCAAGCCCAACAGAGATAATAGAGTACCAAAAAGGAGAGGTTTTGTTGTTGTTTTTTTAACTCAAAAAGAATTTAATAATAACATAATGCTTAGTATCTTAATAGGAGAGATTGGAAAATTTAATTCATTAATTTCCCCTTTTTCATAAACCAATAGCAAACCTGTAAGCTCTGCGAGAATTTCTCGGACAGAAAGCCCACGAGTAAAGGTAAAGCCATGAGCCCGATAGGCTGTGATCAGATGGTCTGTGGGATTTATGCCAGCCTCCAGGCCCACACAACAAGCTTCCTGCATTAAAGGAAGAAGGAGACATGAGTCAATACAATACACATTTCTAGAATAAAGGTTTCCTATACTATTATGAAATATTTGGCCTAGTTGAACTCTTCCTTAATAACTACAGAAAGTAGCTCTATTTTTCATCAGAAACAGAATAGAAGGTAAGGCCTAAGCCAGCAGTCATAAACCGGCAATTCAGAGATGTGCTGTTTCCTTTAGCCTGTATGGTGATTTGAAGAAAAAAAAATCCTGAATCAGGTGTCAACTTTAAAATATTCAGGGAATCTCACATGAAAATCAAAACTTCAGTCTTCTCTTGAAGAAACGAACAAACAGGAAGCAGTGACCCCATATTTCCACATGTCACCAACTAGCTGCAACCAAGTTGTAACATCCCCTGCAGGTTGGACCTACCCATCCCAGTTCACCACCAGTCCGTCACCACTCTTTGTTATATAGCTGGCCTTCTTCGCTCGTTTATTCTACCTACCTGGTCCCTGTAGGCATGTGAATTTATAACCCCTGATCTAAACCTACAAAACAAAAAACACACACAAAAACACCCCGTCCCCCCTCCCCCAAAGTATATCAGACACAGGTATCACAATGCCACAAAGGCATACAAAATCAGCAATGTGGTCCATGAATACATTCTTTAGCATAAGCTTCATAGCAGGTCTCAGAATTCTCATTTTTATTCTAACATACCAGCCTGGACTCCTTCAGCTGCATAAGGCAGGGTAAAAGCCACTAAACACAAACCACACTTAAATTCCTGAATAACATGGTTTTATTACAGAACTACCACTCACCTGGCCATCGCACAAGTGACAGAAACCACGAATAATTTTCTGTTTATACAGCTGATCTGCCTTTAACTCCATTCGGCGAACAGTCTGCATCATCCTGTAGTATTTGAGCCCATCCTCCCTGGTGAGCACCGTTGTAACAGGAGGGCCCTCTTCCAGCCGGTGAAGATCACACTTCTGAAATAGAAAGTTACCTTTCAGTTACTACAATGTAAGCACTACCAACCCATTCTAAGATCTAACTCCATCATAAATAACATTTCACTCAAAAACACACAGGAGCACATCAGAAATTCTGCATATTGCTTCTGACGCCTTACATCATAAAGCTCACTACAATGGGATAGGGTTTTGGAGTTAGGCAATCTGTCCAAGATGACTTTCACTGAAAACTTCTAGAAGTCAAATGAGTTACAGGCAGAAAGACAAACTTTCAAAGAAGCATTCTAAGAATCTTCTCATTCAAATGTTTTACTGAATCACATTCTAAACTTTGGAGCAAGTCCTTAAATTTTTTAGCTCGTTCCCTCTCCCCTGAAACACCAGCAAGCTGCTAAGAAGTATAAATTCTAATTTTTGGTAAACTCTGAGCCTTTGATTCTAGAACACTTGGAAAAAAATTATGAAAAAGCATGACTATCAAAATGGTCTATTCCAAAAGTAAAACTGTATATCAAAGTATACCTGTGGAAAAGTTATTAACACAAAGTAAAACATCTCTTACCTTAATTTCAAACGTAGCATCGTTTGCAAAATTACGGGATGCCACCAGCACTCTGCTTGCCTTGAAAACCCAAAATATACAAATATATCAGTACTTTTATTGTCAGTTATTTTTCAAGTCAAATATTATTATTAATAATTTATCAGTATGCAGTCCTGGAACTTGAATAAGCCCCAACATATATAAATGAATCCATGCTTTGTCCAGTGAAACATGATAGTAACTCCGATCTGATGGCAAAGAGAAGAAAAAGAATGTGGACAAAAACCAAACCAATCCACTTAAGTCATTTTGTTTTCAAAGAAATTACAATGAGAATATAATGACATTAATGGCCAAGCTGAAGAGACTGATAATTTGGGGGCTTTGTTTATTCATGCTATTCTTAGTCATAACCAGATATACTGAGCAAGCTAAAGCTTCCCTTTCAGAATTATTCTTCAAATAAAACTATGATACAATCCCTACCTTCAGGCAAACCATTTTTCTATGAAATACATGGCAACCATTCAAGTGAAAGAGGGAAAATATTTTTTAAATTCCAGATTCTATCAGTATAAATTAAAAATCTTTCCTATTACTTAAAAAGCCTAAGGAATACTGGTAGTAAAATCTCACAAAAGAAGTCATAATGGAAATACAAACAAGACAAAGTATAAAATTTTTAAATACAACTTAATCTTCTGTGCAACAAGAACTTTGAAAACTCTCAACCTCAAATATGAAATCACAGGTACTTAAGTAACTTAAGTTACACTGAGCTCTCTGCTTTCAGTTTACAGATCCAACTTTCTGTAGGAGGCACTAACATCCAGTTTCTGAAGGTTTTGGTGGGTTGGATGAAGGGTGGCAAGGAGAGGGAGGAAACAGCAGGATATCGTTCCAAGGCTTCCACCTAGGTCAGCCCCCAGTAACTCCTGATGTTCTTAAACTCTGAGACGTGAACGCCATAATAAAGTACAGCAACATTTCCACTTCGGTTCTCTAAGATAAACCTATGTTAATTCATACAATGAGTTTGTTAAAAGATAAATTCCTTAAACCTATTTGTATCACTTACGTTTAGAGAGAAATTGGTCATTTTTGTCTTGATGGCACGAATATCTGATATTAAAGATACTTTTTTAAAAATTGGGGCATTGGGGGATGGGAACAGCGTTGGGGAATCGGGGAAGGAGAACAGACAAGTTGCTGTCCTTTTGTTCTTCAGTTTAATTGTGGAGGACGTCGCTTCACTGGCCCATGTTGGTATTATCATTGCGCTCTTCCCAGGTGAGGGAGATCGGTCGCTGGCCACCGGACGGCTGCTCACGGTGGCTCTTGGCAGCTCACACTGGCTGCCGGCCACACACGGTAGCTTATGGCAGCCCACTGCAGCCTCACTGCAGCCTACGCCATCGCTGGCAACTCACGGCAGCCCAGCTCCAGGTTGAGCTGCTGCTCACCATCTTAGCTGTACAGGGCGCAGCGTCACTGGCTCTCACATGTGGGATCCGAACCTGGGCCCTGCTGCTCAGAGCTGGCGTGCCAAGCCAGCTCTTAACCAACGCGCCACTCGGCTGGCCCATAATATTAAAGATACTTTTGCAAATCAAAGTTTCAAACCCAGAATCACTGGGAACTTGGCATGTTGTGGAACAAGAAACCTGTCCAGCTCATGACAGTTTCAAGTGTTTTCCTTCCGCTAACAGTTATCTTTTTAGCATTAAAAAGTATAGGTTTAAAAAAAAAGTATGAGTCTATGATGATTCTAAAACAAACACTTTGAACCCTCTAAGTAGCCTGTGTTAACACAACTGAAACCTGATGATGAATGTGCACACTAGGCCCATGAGCCCCAAGTGCACTGAATACTCTGGGGAACATCTCATCAATTATTATAGTTTATGGAAACACTGATTAGCTGATTTGCTCTGTTGTGGTGGTGGTGATGGTGGGGGGGACTATTAAGCAGGGTTTCAGCCCACAGACACACATAATCTAGGGTTTATACATAATTCTTCGAAATACTTTTCTCTGTGCCCTACATATGCAGGCAATGGAAAAGTATGCAAAATGGCCCAAAGGGGGCGGGGCTCAAAGGAAGGAGCATTAACACTGTCTCTCATTCATAAAAAAAAAAGTTAGGGGAATCCATGTTCACTGTCTTTTCTCTCAATAAGAATATCTGACTGAATGAAGTTATACTGCACTCTTGCTTTACCCCGTCAGCACACTGTAACCTAAATAGAAATGTAACTCATTTCTATTTGATACGGGCTGTATTATGATTTTTGAAGAGGCCAAAGTTTTACTGAGGTGAAGATGAAGTGCAAGTTGCATTTCATGCCCACACACTGCTGGAAGATTGGAAAACACAACCAGGAGCATTTTGGACAGTAGAGGAAGGAGGCTCTGATTTTAAAGAATGACATCTCTCTGTTCACAGGGATTGACACAGGTGACAGGTGACTAATTTGAAAACTCATACACAAATTTTCCTTTTCCTGGGGATAATCACAAAAACTTCTATCCAAGTTTTTCCTCATTAATGTAGCCCTTTAAATTGAACATAATCCAGAACTAAGGCCCTGTATAACGTTGAAAACATGTTTCTATTACTTACAACTAAAAACTGCTGTTGTGGAGATTAAATGAGATAAAGCATGTGAAACACCTCACCTAGAGCCCGACACATATTAAGAGCTCAATAAATGTTGGCTGTAGCATGTGTATATGCAGAAATACATTTCAGCTAGCTCCAGTTACAATTGAAATGCTAACAATGATTAATCAAATTGTGTTTGTAATTTTTTCAGTCAATGGGATTCCTAGAGGGGTACACTTTCTACCTTTCAACTGTCTCTGTCCTTACCAAGCCTGGGGGAGTTACCAAGAGCCAGAACTGCAAGTCAAAGCCTGCCTGTAATTATACCAAGAAATACTACCTCGCTGTGCTTAGAGGTCAAAATGCTAGAAGTTTACACATTAGGCGCATCTGAACGCTGGAGGCAGAAATAGTGCTAACCTCACCCCTTCCCTCTCCAGCAGCACTGCTGTTTTCTTCAGCTACTTTTACCGGGGGTGGGGGT